CGCGGCGCCCGCCTGACCCCGCGGGGCTTATCCCCGCCTCGCTCCGCGGCGCCGGCGAGACCCGCCGCTAAACGCTGCCCCGGCGCTTCAGCCTCGCCGCCGTTCCCACCCGGTGCGCAGGTCCGCACCGGCAGGGGCCGGCCAGCCGCCGCCGCGCTCCGCAGGCGACTGGCGCGGACAGCCCAGAGGGGGCCTTCGGCGCGAGGGCCCGGCGGCGCGGCCGTAGCCGTGGCAACCGCGCAGGGGACGCCCGGGTGGAGTGGAGCGGAGCGGGGCAGGCGCGGGCCGCCGCCTGAGGTGAGGGGGAAGGGGCGGGAGGCGGGAAGGTCGAACCCGGTGCTGTCCCGCTTCTCTTCTCTCGCAACGTGTAGGCCTCGGCCGCGCCCGACCCCGAGGGTTTGCTCGTCTGGCGGAAACAAGCGATAGAAAAGCGGCCTTGTAGCGGCAGAAGCAGTTCTGCTGCAGCACCGAAGTTGGCAGGGTTAAAAAAAAAAAAAAAAAAAAATCTATTTGTGTTTGAGAACTACTGAAACCAGCCTTTCTGGTAGCGAAGGTCTCCGCCCGCATTGCCTGAAGGTACGAAACCTCGTTCCCCTCTTTTACGCGGATCTGAATGGCTGCTTCTCGTGTTTGTATTTCTTGTCTGAGGATTTCTTTGCCGTTGCAGAGATAGAGGTCCACTCGTGATTGTCAGTCACCCTTCGAAAAGCCATTTCAGTTCAGCTTGAAGCATCGTTTCTCATTTTAAGATAGTGAAAGTGGCTCTTGAGAGACTTCTGCTTTTCTACCTGGTTCATAGAACTATTTAAAAGCAAAAGGTAGAGCAGCTGTAGTTAATTTTCAGTATTGAGAAAATTACTGCAAATTTGAACTCTTTCCTACGTGGTTTTTAACAAAGAAGGAAGACTTTCCAACTCGACTTTGAAGTAGTTTTTGAAGGTTAATGCAACTTGTCTTGATTTGGAGACATACATTCATTTTGGGGGTATAATTTCTTACTTTGCCTTACTGCAGCCTGTAGGGTAGCTGGAGAAGGAGATAACCTTCACCTTTGGCATATTTTCACTTATTTAAAGCCAAGGGAAAAATAACACATGCATTCAGTGTTTGTACACTAAGCTGGGAAAGAGGATCTGCAGCAGATTTAGATCTGTAAGTCTCCTCTAATATTTCATCTGACTCAAAAAGGTGTCGGAGCCAAGGGCAGAGCTGACACTGAGGAGTTCTCAACAGCATTTTGGGGATGGACAAATGCGATAAGGCAGAAAAAGAGGAGTTGCTGCTGCCAGTCAGACTGACGTTCCCCCTCTCCTGTTGCAAGACAAAATGCTTCAGAGAAGAGTAAAAAGCATAATTATGGATTAGCTTCCTAACCTCACTCATGTAGTAGCTGACCAACGCACTGATACTTGAGAGTTTAGTAGTCCTTACTTTAAAATGAAATTCTAGTTTGTACAGTATGTTCTTGCTATCTGTATAAATGCAGCCATATGTTTAGTGGGACAGTCAGCATTTCCTCCCCACCAACCCCTTTTCTCCCCTGTTTAAGTAATGCAAAAGTTCCCTGTTCCTCCGCACACACACGCAGCAACTCAGCATTTTGAAGACATTCTTAAGACATTCTTGACCTTCATGAACATTTTATAGCTTAAGCTCTATGGGCGGTAATGTGCTGTGTAAAAAGCATTTCCATTTGTCACTTGTAAATTCTCAGCTTTTCAGTTTCATTGATGGTGTATTTTAGTTTGAGAAGGAGTACAGCTGAATATCATCTCCTCTCTTTGAAATGAATTCATATTTTCATTGTCGCCTAATAAGGAGTTTAATTGGTTTTGGTCTTCATTCCTGAGACTCTTCTCTCTCCTTGTCCCATCTGTCATCGGTCACAGATATGCTGCTATATTGAGGTCACTCTGAAACTGTAAGAAAGCTTTACAAAATCTGACTAGGTACCCGTCCTCTTAAAATCTTTCAAAAAGAAAAGGGGGAATTCCAGTGTTACATACATCAACATTATGGATGCAAGGTTTTATGAAATAAGGAGTATGAGATATCCGCAGGTTTGTGACAGAAACAGAGACAAAGGATATTTCAACCATATCAATCAATTTGTATCTTTTCAAAGCAAATATGTATAATATACACAAGTATGTATAATGGAATTCTGTCTTTGTTGCATCTCTTGCAACATTCAGATTTAATTTTGTGGAAACTCTTTCAGTGGGGTTCCAAGACTTTTCAAATTCTTGTTTTATCTGCATTTTTCTGAAGTTTTTTTTCCAAATATGCTCAAATCAGCTTACAGCAAAAGTGTATCATTATATCTTTTCTGAAAAATCAGATTCTCCCTGAAGTCACACCTGGAGCTTTCATATGAACCATCGGGCAACACAAAGTTAAAAGCCTGGTGATTAGAGCAGAAAAGGGTTTGGTAGGTAAGCGATTCCTGGCTTTCCAGAGCAGTGGATACAAGATGCAGTAAATGTTGTTTGTGAAGAAACTGTAATACATTGATTTACTATTTTATTACATTTTTCACTTTAAAAAAGGAATAAATATTAAAAAAACCCCATCTTTTAGGTATCATTTGACTACATAGTACTTTACTTAGGTGGCAGACCAAAGAATTAACTTAGGCGTGATACATAATCCTGGCCAAGTAGTGGCAGAGGTATAATCCAGCAGCTGGGAGTCACTCTGCACCCTGGCACCCGGGGCACGTAGGGATGTGTTCAGCTTCCTCTGAAACTGGGGAGACTGACACCTTGGCTGCATGGTTTTGCTGAACTTGGGTCACTCTAATCCTGATAAAAAGAACAGTACCAAGAGACGCTCACACTTTCTTTCCTGTTTTTTCTTTTCCTGTTTTTCAGTGAGCTTTGCCGTCGCTGAGGACATCTCTGATAAAGCTGACCACGCTTCAGCCAGTAACAAGAACTGTAATGACTTACGTTGCAAAGAAGTGCGGTGTCTGCTTTCAGCCTCCATCCATTATCCTGATCTACAAAGACGATGGCAAGGATAAGACTCGCCAGCGCATCATGCCTGTCAGAAACTTCTCCAAGTTCTCAGGTGTGGTGCGTTTACTTGTAGCATTCCCCAAGTCCCCTTCAGGCACAGTGAGAGGAACAGCTAGTTGGCAACAGCATTTTTAGTAACTGCTGGGTAGCTTCTTACCAGCATGCAGGGAGTGCAAAGAGGGGTTGTTTTGGTGTAACACTCTCTCCCCCAAGGAGCCCAAGATATGTCTTAACCTGGGTGGTGGCTCTGCTAAGTCTGGAGGTCTTGCTTGTAAGGGTCTGGGAGAAGAGGATCTGTTTATGGGAAGAGATTTGCTTGCAGCTGTCAGTCTTCATCGTGGCTTTCTCTTTAGACTGCAGCATGGCTGCCGAACAGCTGAAGAATAACCCTCGTCACAAGGCGTACCTAGAAGGAGTCTCACTGCATCAGCTACAGAAGCTGTACAGTTTGCTGAAAGGGCATTTGGGAGGAGAGAGCCTGGCTGAGAGCTTGGAAAAGTTTCGGCAGGAAGAGACCATTGACCCAGAAGAGGATATGAACAAACTAGATGACAAGGAACTAGCCAAAAGGAAGAGCATCATGGATGAGCTCTTTGAAAAGAACAGGAAGAAGAAGGATGACCCAGATTTCATCTATGACATTGAGGTTGAGTTTCCACAGGATGAGCAGCTGGAGTCCTGTGGCTGGGATGCGGAGTCAGGTGAAGAAATCTGATTCCAGACAAAGATGCCTTGGATGGGCAGTCCAGAGACAGACCTCACAGTCCTAATAGAGAGAGCGATGTCTGCGTACGTATTCTACTGCATTGTTTTCAGCTCATGCAATTGATGCATGTTACATTGGCTATGGAGAACCAAAGGCCCAAGGTGCTACAGCAGTTCCAGGTTTAAGTGAACTTTGTTTAAGAAGCCAGACTGGATGAAATGAAAATCAGGCAGCTGAACTTATTGGGTATTTTTAGCCTTTTCCTATGTATGAGTGCCTAAAATAATTTTAAATTATTTAATCTGCCATTTGTTTACATTTCAGTCAGCTTTGGCTGAAAATCTCACCAGCTTCCCTTGCTGTGATTTCTGTTCAGCTTTGTCTGAAAATGAAGTGTTAAATATTTATGTCTTGAAAGCTTTACTGTATAAGTACGGTATTTGTTATTACTTGCTGGAATGTTAAATATATATTAGTCTTTCTGGATAAATCAAAACTGCATTGCAAATATTACTGTCACGTTTCCTAAGCAATGCTTAAATCTCCAGCTTCAGCTTACACAAATATTAATTCTTGTATTTAAGAAATGGAATATCTAGAAAATAAATTAGTCTTGAAAGTACTTTTGAAAATACAGTGATTTCAAACTGCTGAAGTGAGGTGTTTTGCTTCCTTATACTGCTGGATGATGCTTTCTCAGTAAGTGGTCAGTTCTGGGAAAATGTGCTTAAACTATCCAAAAAAAAGTTAGCATGGCAGAAAGTCACAAAGGCTGGGGGTGGTTTTAGAGTAAAACAAACTCTTTACCCCCTGCTGCCTCATCAGACTACAGTTCCCAGCTCACTCGAAATCATGCTAGGGGACAACCTGACGTGACAAGTAAAGCTACAGCAAAAGGTCCTTCACATAATGTTTTGATGGTCACTGAGAAATTCATCTCTGTGGGAGCATAATCATGGACTCGACAGATCAATATGATCATAGTTGAAGACCCTTTACTAGAGCATCAGACATCATTTTATACATTCGTTACATCTGTACATGCGCTTCGCTATTTTACTATTGGTTACACACATTATTCACGTGCTGTCCACGCGCCTAGTAACACTTAATGATTGGTTATATCAACACTGTACATGTGCATAAACATAGGACATAATTGGTTATACTAAAACATGTGAAACCTGTCTCAGTCTAATTGGTCAAGATAAACTGCCAAATTAAGGTTCTTTGTGCCAAGTTCCCTTTATCATGGAATGCGCACCTGTGTTCTTCTAATTGGCATCTCTTTTTTTGTCGTCTTGTTTATTCTGTTCAAGGCCTTCTAAAGGCATCTGGAATGCTCTTGTGATCGTTAGCTAAATATGTGTCCACACATCTCTGCTAAAAAATATTTTACTAATACCACTGAAGTTTTTAATCCCACCATCTGCCTCAGCTGATTTGTACCAGCCAAATCCTGCTCTCTTGTAAGAACTGGATGACTAAGTTTAGGATTCACTGGAAAATGATGCAACTCCAAAAGCTTCCCAGGTTTTGGCCTTCTGAACCTGGATGGCTGTGAGGATTGTGAGTAGGATGACCCTTCATCCCGAGTGGAGTGGCTCAACAAACTGATGCCCGAGGTAACTAAGAGGAGTTGTAAATTGCCTCCAAGACCAGTTTAGTTCCTGTCTTCCTTCTTACAACCACAAATTAATTAAAACCCATCAATTTTATCAATAAGACATATCATAGCATGGAATCCGGGGTTTAGAAGAGCTCTTCTCCTACACGCTGAAACGATAACAAGTCAGTTCTGTGAAAAATCTGAAACGAGTATCAGTTAAACCACTGTACTTTGTCATCACTGGAGAAGATGAGTGACCTTACGTTTCTCCAAGGGATTCTTCAGAAGAGAAATGGAAGCCAGTGCCTTTCTTGCCAAAAATTAAAAAAAAAATACAAAGCCTGACTCAGCTTTCCCAGGAACGGAAAGGGTGTGTACATCTCCAGCACAGGCCTTGCTCTGTTTCCAGTAAAAAATTGCAACATAACAGCATATAAAGATCTCCCACTTGTGTGGGAGGGGACCCGTGGGGACCTCTCCTCCCACCCAGCCTGCCCTGGGTCAGGCCAGCCTGCACCCAGCTTTGTCCTGGAGGGGCTCGGAGGAGGTTGCCTGCACCCCCCCTCCCCGGGCATGGCCATCCTCACCAGATGAGGTCTACATGAGGTCTAACGAGTGCTGAGTTGAGGGGAATAATCACCTCCCTGGATCATGAGGTTCCTGCTGGCCCCTTCCTCCAGCCCACCCCAGTCCTTCAGGGCGGCAACCCTACCCGATATCAACTGGTCCTCCCAATTTGGGCTCTTCTGTGAACTTGACACGAAGGCACTCCGTGGCCTTATCCAGATCTTGGACAAAGACATCAAACAGGACAGATCCCAGATCAGCCCCCTGGTGTCTTCTCACCAGCCTCCTGGTAGAACACATCCTACTAACTGCTACCCTCTGTGCTTGATCATCCAGCTGATTTTTACCTACCTGGTTGCCCACCCATCCAGACCATGACATCCTCACTTGGATGCAAGAATGTTGCAGGACATGGAATTGAAAGCCTTGCTGACATTGAGGTAAACGGTATCCGCTGCTCTCCTCTTGCCTACAAATCTATCCATTTCATTGTGAGACGCAGGCAGATTGGTCAGGCATGACTTACCCTTGGTCAATCCATGCCAACTGCTCCCAGCCACCCTCTTCTTCTGGAAACGTGCTCCAAGAAAGCATACTCCATGGTTTTCCCAACATGAAGGTGACCATCCTGTTGCTCCCCAGGATGTCCCTTTGGCCGTTACTGAAGATGAGTGCGACATTTGCCTTTCTCCAGTCACTGAGGACCTCCCCTGATCGCCATGACCTTGCAAAGATGATGAACAGCAGCTTTGTAAGGATGTCAACCACTCTACAAGTGGAAGGTCATCTCGTTGCTCTGACATCCCTTGCACATACCAGCTCCAAGTGAGCCTCGGTTTTCTGGGTACCGTGCCCCTGTGCCTGGGCAAAGCTGCTAACACCTCCTGTGATGGAGGAGTGTTGAGTATCCCCCACATCGGCTCAATATGAGCAAGAATACCCACTTTTTATCCACATCCCAGGCAGTGCCAGGCACCTGGGTTCCTACCTACGTGCACGACCATGGCTGCGCTCCACATCCCCCCACCAAAAGGAGCAGGAGCAGTGGCCACAGTGGTGGAAGAAGCGCACGCATCCACCCTCCGAGGCCAGATCCGGCACCTGCAGCAGGGGGAAGTGGCCCCAAGGAGAGGGGTGCTCACAGGGGCACCCTGTTCACCCTGCCAGCAGGGAGACACTGAAATGCGGCTGCAGTACCCAGTGCCAGCACAGACCTGATGAGGACATCACAGGGACGTATTTATAGGTCACTCTTGTCCCTTGGGCATGCAGCTTACGGGCAAAAGAACAGTTGAAATAAGTTGAGGGATTCCCCAGCTGGGGCCTGATTTGGTTTTGGCTATTTCAGTCTAAAATAGGGCCAGAAGGCAGCCATATTCTGAGGCAGATTTGACAGCTGGGTTTCCAGAGCCTTGTCAGCGCTTGGCCCCAGCGGTGCTGCCAGCTGGTCCAGCATGGTCTGACCTACGCCGTTTTTTCCAGCCTGGCACAGCAACCAGCCATGCAAGGCTCACCAATGACCTCAATCCTCATCCCCACAGCTGTGCCGGGGAGGATGCTGCCTGTGCTGTCCTTCCAGCATCACTCCCAGCCCCACACCAGCCTGGGGCATCTCCCTCCACCACCTCCCAGGACAACTCCAGTGTAAGGTCAAGTGACACTTGGGCTGGCTGCAGGGCCTCGAGCCCCCTGCACACCCCGCATCGCCCCACTGAGCTCATCCAACTCCAGGCAAGGACAAGTCCCCAGCATGCCCACACTGGTGCTGCTGCTCGCTTCCCCACACCCTGTGTTCCCATTAAACTCAGAGCCATGTTTCACTGGAAAAATCCTGATGGTGCCACAGGAATAAAGCCACTCCGGTTCTTAGCAGGGCTTTTGAGTTAACACAAACCACCATCACTTCTCACTTCCATCCACAGTAACCCTCCGAGGAACAAAGCGGCACTTCCTCAGGTAGTGCACTGCTGGTATGGGAGAGCTGGTACGTGCTGTGACCAAGGCTGGGTGGAGGAAACCCCCCCATGCCACTGCAGCTGACAGCCTGCAAGAGCGGGGCTTGCGCAACAAGGAGGAAGGCTTTCTCTTAGTTTATCTCCTTTGCATCTGTTTAATCCAGCAGTTGCTGGAGAAAAAGAAATCGACGTAAAATATTACCCGTGATATAATTTATTCTCCTGTCTTTCAATCAATATTTTACAGCATTGCAGCTTGGGCTATTTTTAATGGGCTTTTCTAACCAGGATCGCAACTTAACCAAGCAACAACACCCCAAAACGTGTCTTTCAGCCCTGTGGACAACGCCTGTCTTATCAGCACATACACACGCGTGCACGCCCAGGGCTGCCTGCAAGTTTGCTGGTGCCAGCAAGAGTAGCGTGGGAAGCTGTGACCACAGAGACCCTTCTCCGCAGGGCCCAGGTGATGCTTGCTCCAGCCTGGGGTGGTTTGTGGAGGCTGGTTGCAGAGCTGGAGGATGTTTTGCAGTGGAGAGTTGGCTACAGGGTGTGAATAAATAAAAGGAACTGCCTGAAGGGGGGAGGGGAAACAGCGTTGGGGGAAACTGTCCGTACCCCTTCAGCCAAAAGGCGTTTGGTGTTGTGTCCACTCAGCTCTCACCAACATCAACTGAAGGTTTCTGCTGAAGTTGTGTCCCTTGAGGATGCCCAGCACGGCCCCAGGCTCCATCACGGGACACAGCCACACACCCTTCAGGTACCCTTAGGGCATCTGTAGCAGAAACAGCAGCTCTCCCAGCACCCCCTGGTCCTAACATCCATCAAGCTTCCATCTCACCCACCTCGGAGGGGTTATTGCCTGTAATCCTGACAACCCACTCACGTTCACTGTTCCTGAGCCCTCCCTCCCTCCTCCTCCTCAGCCATCAGTAAGGGCTAGACACCCCACACTGGCTTTTCACCATTTTCAGCAGCTTTTGCTTGAGCGTGAGGAAGACAACAGCGAAGGCCACCAGGAGCGTCAAGCAGGTGGGCAGAGCCAGCACGAGGTAGAGGAGCGCCAGGTCAGCCGTTTGCCAGCGGCAGCTCCACAGGACGGGCTCTGGCAGCGCCCTGGGGCTCAGCGTGTGGGAGGCATAGCTGCAGGTCATCTCCTGCCCGTCGGGGACGTGCAACCCCTCGACCCGCTGCAGGGAGTCCCACCAGCCCAACGTGCAGCAGTTGTAGGGGTTTTGGCTGAGGTAGACCTCCTGCAGGCTCTTCCCCAGCGGCATCCGCGCGACATCCGGTGGCAGAGCCGGGAGGCAGTTGTCCCGCAGGTCCAGGCTGAGCAGTTTCAGGATGCCCAGCGAGGAGGGGAAGACGCTCAAGGAATTCCCCGAGAGGTCCAAGCGCACGAGGCTGTTAAAGGCAGAGAAGTCCACGGCAGTGGAGGAGAGGCTGGTGTTCCTCAGAGACAACACCTGCAGCGTCAGAGCAAGGTCCTGCAGCCACCCCAGGTCCCCGGACAGTGCCTGATGGTTGTCAGAGAGGTCCAAATGCATCAGCGACGTCCCCTGGAAGGGGTGGCGACCCAGTCCCCGCAGACCACAGCCGGCCAAGGAGAGATGAGTCAAGGTCTTGACACCCCTGATGTCCACACAGGGGGGAGTTTCCGCCTCACCTGCAACAGCTGGCTGGGGACAGAGGTCAACCCGGTTGCGGCTGAGGTCCACGGTAGTGATCTTCCTGGTGTAGGCGAAAACCCCAGAAGGAAGCACCCGGAGCCTGTTGGTGCTGAGGTTGAAGAGCTGGAGGTTGGGCAGGATGTCCCCAGCCCCCATCTCTGCCCCCAGCTCCACCAGCTGGTTCTGGCTGAGGTCCAGCTCTGTCAGCATGGCTAAGGGGTCCCCCTCCGACAGCTGAAATGTCTCCAGGCAGTTCTGGTTGAGCTTCAGGTGGGTCAGGGAGGGCATCTGGGCCAGGAAGCCCTCCGGCAGGTACCAGACCTGGTTCTGGCTCATGTCCAGGAGGTGCAGGGAGGAGAGATTGCTGTGGCAGATCTCATCCCAGAGGCTGACTGTCGTGACGTTGGTGGAGTTGCCATCAATGAGCAGGAACTGCACCGTGACATCCGCCAGGGATGTGCCATTGGGGAGGCGCTGGTAGAAGCTCATCTCGTTGTCCTTCAGCAACAAGGAGTGCAGCTTGCTCTGCCGGGGCAACACGGGGAAGAAGAGGAGACGATTGTGGGACAGGTCCAGCATCTCCAGCTCAAAGAGGTCATCACTTTCCAGGGCCAGAAACCACTCAATGACGTTGTTACTGACGTTGAGCACCCTGAGCTGGGTCAGGCTGAACTCCACTACGCATGGGAGGTAGTTGTAAGCTATGTTGAGCCTCTGCAGCCTCTGCAGCCCTTCAAAAGCTTGGTCAATCTCAAAGATGTAGTTCTTCTCCAGGTTCAGCTCCAACAGCTGTGTCAGGTTTGTGAAGACAGACGAGTCCAGCCTCATGATAATGTTCCTGGCCACGGACAAGGACTCCAAGGAAGACAGATTCCAGACCAAAACCGATACCATGTCCTCAGTGAGGCGGTTTCCAGCTAGATCCAGCGTCCTTAAGGCTGGCAGAGCAGAAAGAGCAGCTGCTGTCAGTGAATAGTTGGTGAAGAGGAGGTTGTCTGCCAAGGAGAGCGCATGGAGGCCTTGGCTGCTGAGGAAGACACCGGGCTTGATGAGCTCCAGCCGATTCTTGGTCAAGCTGAGACGCCGCAGCTGGTGGTATGAGAGCAGAGAGGCATTCCCCAGGACCTGGATAGTGTTGTCATCAAGCAACAGCTCCTCAGTATCACCTCGAAGATTTCCTGGGACAGAGCTCAGCCATCTCCCAGTGCAGTCCGCAGTGCTCTGCACCTAAAGCAAGAAGTAGATACGTAATGCTGCTCTGAGAGGCAGGAGGTGGGGGGAGATGAGGAGGGAGAAGTTTGGGAAGTAGAGTGAGGATGGAGGAGGTGGCTCTATGGTTAGAACCTCAGCAACCCAGTCCACTTGTAGCTAAACCAGTAGCTGGGAGGGTGACGGTCTGGAGATGCTGAGACACCTGGGCTTTGCAGGGCAGGACCAAGCACTCAGAAGGGTGAGGATTTGCAAGAGAGGACTTACGAGCTCACAGACACCAGGAGACGTCCAGGCTGTGACTGCCCCGCTTCCCCATCCCACTGCCAGGAGGACCAGAAGCAGGGAGAAACCAGGGAGCGGGGCCTCCATCTCAGCGGTGGCACTCCTGCGGAGATGGAGACAGAGGTGAGAAGGTGAAAAGCTGCAGACCACTCATCCTGAAAGATCTAGGTTTTCCCAGGGAGCCCATCATGGCAGCAGTGATCCTTGTGCACGGCTGGCCTCCTGCCCATGGCTGCTGCCCGCTCCCATCATTGCCCCCAGGAGCACCCAGAGGCGATGGGCTCCCAACATGCCATAGTGGTGGCCACTGTGCCCCGCGAGACCTGGGCCACCACAAGCTCCCCACGGAGAAACAGCGAAGAGCCCTGGCACCAAGCCCACCCGCCCCAGCAGGAGCCCTCATGGGGGTCCACCAAGGAGAGCCTGGAGGGCAGGAGAAGAGAGGGGACGGGGAGGTGGCAGCCCGGTCCCCGCACAAGACAGCACACATGGGAAAGGCACTGTTGTCACTGCACAGCTGCTCGCAGATGCCACTGAACTGCAACCCTTGAGCAGAGGCTTCCCCCCTAGCCAGGGCTCATGTCCCCCCTCTGTGGTGCCAAATACTCCCCTGGCAGACACCGACCCAGCCACCACCAAGTCCTCTCCAGCACCCATCCCTGCCAGAGGTCCTCCCCGGGAAGCAGAGGCTCTCCAGCACAAAGTACCCCGTTACTAACTTGGTGGAACTGGAGCTGACGGCATTTGCATCTGGGGAAAAGCTGAACCTCAGGCAAATGAGCAGCGAGGTCTTGTCGAGGGCTCAGTAAGTGGCGTTTTCATAACTGCCAGAGCTTGAAGAAGAAATGGGGGGTTATTTTTGGCAGCCCAGGTAGCCAGAGGCTTGCAGCACAGAGGGAGCAGTGGACACATCCTGGGTTGTCTCCTTCCTTGGGACAGCCAAAAGCATTAAGCTGGTGTCTTATCAAAGTGGCATTTGTTAATCTGGTGGGGATGGAGAAGATGACCCTCTTCCCCAGGCTGGAGCTGATGCACAGCAGCTTGCACCCTCCGGAGCCCTCGGTCTCCAGCAGTGCCTTGCACGCAGGCACAGTGGCAGGAGAGGGACCCTGCTGTGTCCTCGCTGCACCCAAAAACCAGGGACTTTGGCTCTGCCTCGCCTTCGGCGCCTGAACCCCTCCACAGAAGCTCACATTTTCCTTCACCCAGATCAGCCTTCCTTTGCTGCCCAGTGTTGGGTCTCCTCCAACATGAGAAGTGCTTCCATCCTCCCACAGTCCTCCCTGGGGCTGCGGGGATGGTGCCTGCCCAGCCAGAAGAGCAGGCAGCAGCACCAGCAGGAAACCTCTGCCCACAGCCCCACAGAGGAGCCCACATGCAAGAGGTCTGGGAGCGCCCAGGGTGCTCCCCACAGTGCACACCAGCCCCAGCACCGGCCCACGCAGCCGTGGCTCTTGCGAGTGGGGGCATTAGCGACACACAGCCACCATGGATCTTCAAGCTGGCATGGAGGGCTCCCCAAAAACCCCCAGTGGGGTTTTCCCCCCCCCAGCAGAGGTATCGGGGGGCAGTTACTCACCGCGTGGAGTGGTGCGCAGGGTTTGCCACAACTCATCCTGCAGCCAACGGCCTCTCCGGCTGCGCTCGGTGGGGTCTCTTGGGGCCAAGGGTAGGTGCAACCCGCTGGGTTTCTCTCCCACCCGCTTTCTCGCTTAGCACTAATATAGCCTTTGCGGAAGGAGCTAACGGAAACTGCAGTCACATGGAGGCAGAGAGCGTGGCCAGGCACTTCGCTTACTGATCTCAGCACTTACAACCCAGGTCATGCACTCACAAACAGCTCCCCAGCAAGGAGGAACCATGGGGGCCGGGCAGGCAGGGAGGGGGCTGCTAGGGGGAACTGGCCTCCGCCAAGGGTCACACAGCTCCTAGCTCTCCCGCTGCTCCCAGGGACAAGCCAGGTCTGGGGACGACCCTTGCACCGTGACTCCTCTGCACAGCTCCAGCAGCAAAACCCCTGCAAGGGTTTCAGGCAGCAGAGCTAGTGACCTGGGGGGGGAGGGGGGAGGTTCTTGCCTGCGGAGCCATGCCACTGACCCTGCCGGGGCTCAAGAAAAGCCACCGGCTGCACGGCGCTCCCCTGCATGGTGCCTATTCCTACTGTGCCCCTCTAGTCCCCCACTTGCCTCCAGCACCCAGCACAGGGGCTTCAACAGGAGCCAAGGGATGCACTTCCTGCGGGGGAAGAAGAAGGTGCTGTTCTTTCCCGTTGCATCCTAAGCCGAGGTTGAACATCCCCCCACATGTCGAGTCCTCGCTTTGGGACACCAGCGCCCAGCCTCTTGCATTGTCTAGGTGAGATTCAGGATGCTCAGATCCCACCGCCCACAGACCTTTGGGTCTCCCGGGGCTGCTTGGGATTTTGGCAAACCCAGCACTCAGGTTGCAAGCCAGACACATCTGGATACAGGGACCTCCCAGGTGCTGACCCCTATGTGAAAATCAGCATAAATGGCTTTTCCCACAACTGCCAAGGCAGAGAGCGAGACAAAAATCCACATTTCCAAGGCAATATGAACAGGGAGGCCCCCTTCCTACTCACCCCCCTCTACCCCAGCTCTCCACCTCCCTTCCCACCCCAAGCCTACCCTCTTCCAGGGTCCTCATGCACACCCCCAAATCCCCAGCAAATCCAGCCACTGAGGAGGGAAAATGGTTTGCCTGGATTTACCTAGCCGTGAAAGAGTTCAAAACTATGGACAAAGGATTCAGCCCTGCAACAGAACCCTGTCCGGTGGGATCAGCAGGTACTGCCCTGCAACATCCATGCTCCATGTCCCAGGCACTGGTGCCAATGGGACCTTTTGCAGCAGTCGGGAGATGAACCATGTTATTGCGGCACACCAAGCACCTCACCAAGGGATATCACAGCCTGGGTCACCCCCACCTGCCAGACCAAATGGCCCCCAAACTCCTGCAGCCAGCACAAATGACTGGGGAGATATTTTTTACCCTAAATTTCATTTCTTCTCTGGAAGGAGACTGAACTCTCCCATATCACTCACAAAAAGCCCTGTGGTTTCATTTCCTCCATTTTCAAGGAAGTTTGAATGTATAAAAATCAAGAAGGAAAAGAGAGAAGCTCTCCTCATCCAAGTGAACTGGAGCAGAAGGCAGAAGCTCTGCAGCAGGGCAAAATTCCCATGGCGTTGCTCGAGGTCACACAAAGGGCTGAGATGGGCTGATGATTACAAACCTGCTCCTCATCCCCAAAACCCTGCCATGAGCCCAACCCACACCAAAACCACTCATGTGATGCTTGGAGATGCAGGAGCTGGCAGAGATTCACCCCAGGGCTGGGAAGTCCTGAAGCTGTAAAACTTGAGCATCCTCACCTGTGGCAATACTCCACTCTCAGGTGATCTTGAGACTCCTGGGAGACCTTCCGATGAGATAACCTTCATGTGATACCACCAAACAAGGTGATACCCCAAGGGTCAAACCAGCTTCCTCCTCGCAGCCCAGGAGGAGCTGGGAGAGAAAACAACGTGCTTCATCCTCAGTCCATCGCTTTGGCCAACCAAAGCGAAGCCACCATGTCCCCCTTTTCCCAGCAGCAAAGGTGCTTGCTGAGGGGGCATCATGGCGTGGGAAAGCCCCCGCACTGCCCAGCCATGTTTCACCCACCCTGTCCTCCCCAGAAAGCGGCCACACACCAGGCCTGCTCCCTGCAGAGCAGCCACTGGCTCCATGCTGGGGCAGCTGGCAGCAGCCTTGCATTTCACACTTTCCCCACATCCTGCAGCCAGACGGTTTTGAAAACATCCCAAAGCTACTGCTTCCTCCCCTCCTTTTCCTCTCAAGCAGCATCATGCCCCCACGCAGCCCTCCCAGTAAGAACTGGGTGTGTGCTTTGAGGGTTCTTTTTTTATTTTTTAATACCAGCATCATAAAGGGATAGGGATTGAGCTGCCAGGAGCTGCTCTTCTGATCAGCTCTTCCTGAAGCTCCAGTCCAGCTCAACATCACTGGTGGATTAAACTGAAGGAGATTCAGCCACTTGGAGCAGTGTCCACACATGCAGCTGCAATTACTGCAGCTGTAGGAAAGGACCGGGAATCCCCATACGGTTTTACATGCAGTGAGCTTCCTCCATTCCTCCCATCTCCTCTTCCCTCCAAACCATCTTTTTCCCCTTAACAAGCCTCCAACTGTCAAGCACAAACCAAGAGAAAAGTTGCAGTGAGAGGGCAGCCTCCCGGTCGCCACTGGACTGCTGCACCCAGCACAGGACCCCATGGGAAAGGAGAAACTGCAACAGAAAACAGCAAACTCATCACTGCACCTCAACATGCCCCTTGTTTTCCTGCAGAAAATGTGATTTCTTCCTCAGTGGAAGCACCAAGAGAAAGGTCACTCACGGTTCACACACCAGCAGGCCCACAGCCTCGGACAAGTTGGGGCAAAGTGAAACAGAAATGTTTATCCATGGGCTTCCTCTACTCCCACTGCAATGGAGAACTGGACAGAAATAAACAAGTTGTTCTGCAAGGGATGACGGTGCAAAGCATCCCTGGAAAGCCTCCTGCTCTGCTTAGTCTCCAGCATTTTGCTAACAAGGAGAGGATGCAGAGAGCAAAGGGAAAAAGGGACAAGGAGAAGAACCAGCCACTCTGGGAAATGAGCCTGGGAAGGCTTAGAGAAATACTTACAGAAACATCACCATCTCCAGGCTCATGGGAAGCTGCAAACAGCATTACAGAAAATATTAGGTAGCGACCGACTCTGTTGCAGCAGAATCTCGCCTGTTAGACCTCATCAGAAAGGGAGGAGCGGCTGCATGGTGAAGAACAGTGTCTCCCTCCAGGCATTCATTCCCAGGCACTGTGGTCAGCAACGACTCTGAAAAAAATTGGATTTTCTTTAATTATCTTCAAAACCCACATCAAATTTTATTTGCTGTTTGGCTGAAGTGTGCACAGGCAGCGCAAACATATCAAGAAGACACAAGTGAAGAAGTTATTTAATTTAATCACCTGCTCTGGATAAAACAAGGGAAGCTGAAGGTCTAACCGTACCTCAGAAGCTGCTGGTCATGGTAGTCACCTCTAATTTAAGATGAACAATGAACATAAAAAAGAAAACAGATCATTCGTTACATAGCCAAAAGGAAACAGCTAAAATGGCCAGCTGGATGGCTTGACTTTAAACTACAGCTCTGGAAGTTTGCCTGGCTGAATTTCTCGATGGGAATTCACCCAGTTTATCCCCAGGGAATAGCAGAGGACATGCCCCATCCCAGGATGGCACGGATGCATCAACGTACATGAGGATGGGCATCTCTACAGCCCCAGCACTGCAGCTGAACTGGAGCTCTGCAAGAAGCACAGCTTCCCTCCAGTGTATTTCTTGCAGGGGAAACAAAGAGACAAAAATCAGCAATTTATAATCAGCTTCAAAATATTTTTTTTTTCCCCCAGCTGTAGCCAAACAACCTGGTTGGTTGTTTACCTAGCCACGCTTGGTCCTCTTCCAAGGAAATGCATGTGCTAGCACCGACAGTCACTGAACTAAAGCTTCAGGCTCTGGTTTTGCAGCAGCTCATGTGCCTGGAACCCCCTGTAGCCAGAGCATCCTCCTCTGGGCTGACTCTGCCACCCCACTCCTGCTCCCTTTCCAGCAGCAGCTCATGCTGCTGGCAGGCTCTCACTCTACAATTACCCATTTATACACAACTAAGCTCACCTTTGCTCCCCCATTTTCAGCCATCAGGAATCTCCTAGCTCTTGCCACGTTTTCTGATGGAAAGAGGGGGTTCAGAGAAGACGACTTCTTTGAACTCAGAATTAATTCTGGGTTGTTCTGAGCAGAGTGCAGGGCTTGGTCACTTGCCTTTGCAGCGATGCGCTGGTTCCTGACACCTGCAGACATCAGGGCTGTGTGAGCTCAGGGTGGAGGGGGAAGGAAATAACCCCACCAGACTGACAACATGCAATGAGCCCACAGGGACCCAGGTGAGCTTCCAGCAGGAACAATTGGTAAAATGACACCTGGAGGACATTTGACCGAGGACCTAGGCACCAACCAGGAGCCCCACAGCAGCAATTTTCAGAGGATCCCCCCTTTTGTCCCTTTAGTCTCCAGAAGGTGCAAGCATCCTCTACAGGGCTCAGAAGAAAGGCAGAAATAGGTCTTAGTAGAAAGCAAAACGATGTTTCTCAGAGCACAGCGCTGTGCAGGAAGGGAAGAGGGGAGCTGGTCAGTGGCTCAGCCACAGCAGCTTCCTGGACCCCCGCACTGGGGGCAAGGCTGCACCCCGGTTCCCCTCTTGCAGGCAGGTCCAGCCCAGGCAGCTCCATCCCTGCGGTCACTGCTCTTCCCTCTCCCACATCTGACAACGTACAAGATGTAAACGAGGAGGAAGCGGGCTGCAGAAGGGAGAGCCGCAGAAGTGATCTCAATTCCCCCTCTGCTCGCCCGCACGCGCGGCCCAGCCCACCCTGTGGCCAGGCTCCTGCCGCCTCTCGTAGCCTTCACCCACCCACTTTTCCCAGGCTGGGGGTTTGAGGTCTGCAAAAGGGATCCACCACCACACCAAAGTGAACCTCCTCCTCAGAGAGCAGCAGAACATCTGGATCACAAGGTCTGTGGAGTAGAGCATGCAGCAGGATGCACCAGATGCTGAAGCAGCAGAGCCTTGTATTTCTGTAGCAACTGGAAGCCAAGTGCATCCACTCCCTTACAACTCAAGATCTGAGACAGACACTACTGGAAGTCCAGGTGCTCTAGAGAACTACTTGCAATGCATCTGCAGGAGAAGCAAGTACCCGGAGCCAGAGAAGACAACTGATTTTTCCTCCTAGATCTCCTCAAGAGCAGGAAAGCCCCACAACCAAGTTGCTTACATCTACAGTTTGGTCACTTTTGGCACCTAGACCTGAAAGTGATGCCCAAGTTTTTCCCCACAGTATTGCCAGATGTGGATAAATTGACCTTATTTTTGTAGTGTAGAATAAAGTAAACCATTAAAAGCAACAAAAAACCCTGACCCATCTACACCAGCACATTCACCAAAGTTTTTAGCATAAAACTGTCAGGACTGGAGGCTCTAAGTCACCAGAAGGAGAAGATAGGGACAAGTCACTGCTGTAACATCATTCAGCAATGCAAATTGTGGCAAGAAAAACTACTCCCATCTGTAGTCACACGTACTCCCTTCCTGCTGCTGTTCTGCTTAAGAGAAGTGAGTAATTCTGTCATAAATGCGAAGGGAAGTGAAACTCTCTCAGCTCCTTACAGAGCTAAGAGTATCCCACCCAGCTTTCCCCTCTGGCCAGGAGAGCCAACATCCCTGCTAGGCAGCATTATCTCACAAGCAGCTCTTCTCAAGGTGGATTGCAATCAGGGCTGGAAGCAAGCTGGAGCGTTCACACTCCAAAGTCTTCCCTTCCTGGGTCATCAGCCGTGGGGCTCAGCATCCCCCCTTTCTAGTGTGATACTTTAGGGACAAGTGACAGAGAAAAGCCAGTCTGCAGGGTTTCAGGATTGGAGCACCCTCTTTCCCATTGGGCATATTCCTTGCTCTTGCTTAAGGAAACAGAAAAAAACTGCCAGGATATAAGTTTCTGTGTTTCTTGAAACAAACTCTAAGACGAAGGCAACATCATTGTTGTATCTGAAACCTCATCCCCGCATCTGTATCTGGGAGACAGTCAAAGCAGGCTTTCACCTTTCAATCTGAGACCTGAATTAACAGAGGAATGCAAGAGGGAGGAAAGTTCAAACAGATGCATCGATTAATAAAGTAGATCTTCCCCTCCTGTACTCCATTTTCCTTCTGAGAAGAGCTGCTAACAGTCTGCCAGTAAAGACAAGCCACATCCCAGAGATGCATAGCACGGTGGGGTGAGACCACTGGGCCACAGGTTGACCCTTAAAACCAACTTATTTCCATATTGTACACTCTCCCGAGTCCCACTAATGTTTGTTCCAACTCTGCTCCAGTTCCGCATGCATCAATTATTTTTCCAGGAATAAGACAAAATTGTATGCTAAAGCTGAGATAAAATCTCTTGGCTGTCTACAAAGCATGAGATCCTCCCCTCAAGCTCTGCTCTTGCACAAGACCTTGCAGAAGGGCTCAGATGCCCCCATGTCAGATGGGATCTGGCATGAGAAAAGCCTTCTCTGTCACCTGAGCAGCAAAAATACCAACCAACCAACCAAAAAACAAGCCAACAAAAAACCAAAAAAAGGTGATCTGGAAACGGCAGACATAGAGGCTGAAAAGCTTCAACCACTGCAGTATTCAGAGTATCATACAAAAAGCATTTTGGTCAACATCCATTTCCTTACTGGCAGGTTTATCCAGCACTTTATAATTATTTAGTCATATACTGAGGCTGGCAGACCATACTCTCTTAAATTACTATTTAAAAGCAATTAGATACGGCTTACTTCTCCTAAGCATAGGATGCTAAGGAAATAACTCCATAACCTTGGTTTAATAACTCACTTGCAGGCTTGCACTCTACAATCACTGAAGTCTTTCTTGCAGTTGAAGCTGCAACCAGCAGTTTGTTACCTGTAAACAGGTACTGTGGAGGTTTTGTGGATGGGCAACAGCCCATATCCCACTCGGTCTCAGATTTAAGACATTATTGGACTATGGAGAGTCTAGGGAGAGGTCATGCACAGAGCACATGCTCACCTGCTTGGGTTGAAAATATGTGTTTGCTTCCTGTTATTGATCAGGTTTTGTCTCGCCTCGATTTTCAACTCACCTGCTGCAAACCGAAGCTGACAGACTGCTTCAGGAACGAAGGATGCCAGCATGTCTTGCTGCAGGTACGTTAACGAGCTTGAATGTTTGCAAGAGAATAGCATTTTGTAGCTGTAGCCTACATACTGTTGTAAAACAGCTGTTTTCACACCTGTGCCTGGCTTTGGAGCGTGCCCCTAAAGATGCACAGGCTGCACTTGTGCAAACGAGCACATTCATGGCCTGAAATCAGAAGTTCAAGAAAGGACAATAAAATAAAAAAAATCACTTTGCAAAGCACACAGTAAAATATCTGGGGACACAGCGCCCATCCTGAGCACTAACGCACTGTAGACATATAAAGGTTGCATGTCCCAGGATGGTCACTCGCTTACACACATGGCAACACTCCTGCTGTTTCTGGGTAAAACTACCAAAGGTTTAGCCACAGAAACTGGGAGCTCACAGGAAGATCAGACACTACGCGAAAGACGATAACAGGCAAGGTTATACCTGCATACTTTTCCCCATTCAAACATTGCCTGCAGGAAAATATGTAGCTGTTAACATAGGTAGAACAACATGGATTAAAAAGACAAAATAAAACAAGCAAACATGAAACAACTCCAGCTAGCTCACAACAAATCTGCAAGTGCAGGCATGGAAGGAAAAAAGACACCCTTGGTTCTTGAGCTGGTAAAATTGCAGAAGAATAAACACTTGTAATATACAATGAGTTATTTTTAAATCCTTTTTCAATGATGTGGGGTTTTTTTTTTTCAACTGAAATGGATTTTTTTTTTTTAAATACTCTTTTGATGATATCACTATTTCCTGGTCATAAATGCCTAAGAGGAAGAAAAGCAAGTCTGGGGAAAAGCAGACCTTCAACGGCAACAATGACATTTTGTTTAAGCCTCTCAAATCCCTTTCTACCTTTTAAGGTGATCTCAGAGTCTCAGCTCAGTTCGCTGTCACTGAAAATAATTTTCTGAAATGCAAAGATTTGTGCAGCCTAATTTCAGCATCAGGGGTTCAAATGAAGAAGTACATTTAAAAAAAAAAATCTATATCCATTATCCACTTCTCCACAATCATCTGTTTTGTTGAGGTTTTTTTAGTTTGTTTTGTTTTTTTAAGAGGACAGGAAGCAAATGCTAACGGAGAAGGTTCCACATTAAACATTTATTTGCACAATGCTTAGGAAATTCAAAGTCTAGGCTCCCACAGCGCTGTTAACTTTGCCCTCTTGTGGGGAGGTGTGAGAATTCATTCGGAAGTCACACAATATGTACAGCATCATACAGCAGTATGAAAAAAAACTGCTTAAAGTATAAATTAGCAGCTTCAGCATCATTGTAGGAAAAGCTTTCTGTATTCATTTACCACTTACTTAATTTCCCTTTCAACTGAATTACAACTTAGTGCAAGGTGGACTACTATCACTTTCAGAAATCAAGCACATCACACTCCTAACCATTTAAAAACCTGGTTTGTAAATGTAGAAAGGATCCTAGAGCAAGATTTCAGTAGTGCCATTTTCTGGCTACACATTTCACCAAATTATCTGTATTGTGCAAGAACCGGCACTGTTCCGGAGAAGAGCAGCACACACAGCACTTCTAGCTGTGTTCCTGCCAGCATCCAGAGCTATTTATAATGTGTAAAGATTTAACTAGAACTGAAATATCAGTATTGAAATACACAGGCTCAGGAATCACACAGAGCTGGTTACCTCTCAAATACTTAGAGAAAATAAGTTTTGTGTTATCAAACTATTATCAGGCCAAGTGTTATTTTAATTCATCACTGCTGCCATCATCCCAGTGAAAATGGAAAAGGAAAAAAAAAAAAAAAACAGAGACAGCCATCTGGAAAACACACCGGTGTGTTAAGGAATTAAAAATGTAGATCATTGGTAAGCGGAGAAAAAAGCTAGTATGTTCCAGCTTGCTATCAGATTCAGAGGCAGGCAGAGAAGAATACAGCCACATCTGAGGCAGCAGAAGTTCAGCCCACAAGATCAAGGCCATCTGCTCCAGGCTAGTTTTGTCACCTGAAACATGGCCAAAAGTAACAAACCCAAACGGTGTTTGCTAGCAGAAGGCACACACAGGACTCCCAAGAAATGCACACTCACCACTCCATTTTAAGTGGGGGGGAAGAAACATTTTCAAGAAAATACCCCAACCAGGGCAAATTTCCCATGCCATCTTGATTTATTAGTTCATTCCAGCAATACCTCTGTCCTCTTACGGAAAAAGAAGTCACACAACCGACTTCAGGCCAACACAAGCCACCACCGAAGCCAAGAACAGACTCTGCCCTGAAACAAACGGCCATATTGAGCTGTTTGCTTCCTCAGACATAGAAACATGACCAGATCAGATGACCAACTGTTAAGCTCCCAACAGATTTTGCAGCACACTTAAACCACCAGGAATTCTGAGGTTTATTCAAATGATAGACAAAATGCTCACTTATCAAAAAATTCTGGATGTCCTGCAGGATTCTGAAGCCAAGACCTGTGAATCTGACTGATTTCTGTTATGGGAGCTATGAACAGCTGATGTTCCTCCTGACCAAAGCAGTTAAATGACTAGTTGGGGTAGGGAAAATACTTCAAACAGCTGTTAGCCAACTCTGAAGTACCTCAGGCTAGAAAAAGCGATTCTACATTTTTAGCGAGCCAGCTAAAAGAGCCAGCTCTTTGCTCCTGAAGAAGCTCAAAGAGATGTTAGCCAAAAGTTCACTACTTAAAAGCAAATTCTTGATGCAGAGAGTTTGGAATGTGCCTCAGAGCTTGCAACTGCAACACAGTCTCCTACTTCTTCCTAAAATCACCTACTTCTTCCTAAAAGCACCATGAAACACTGAACTTCCATACAGAAAGCTAGAGAAACAGAGAGAAGCCGAGAAGCTGACCTGGGAAAGAGGCACCTTGGTACGGCAGCAGGGCAGGGCAGCCGCAACAGTGAGCACAACACCTCAATTCGAATCCAGAGACCTCCAGCCATCAGGAAAACCTTTTCCCACACTCCCACGTGCCAGCATCCCTGTTTCGGAGGATGCAGTCTCCCAAACACAGCTATTAGACTACTGAGCTTTCAAGTCCTCATTAACCACTCATCAGATTTTCTCTTTTCAAGCAGTCACGCAGCAAATCACACAGTCCCAACACCTCCATCTTCTTGGTGCACTGAACTGCTACCCCATTTTTCCTATCAGTGCTCCACTGACGTCATTACAACAATCCACACCAATATATCCTTCTGAATTATAGCAGAGTTTATTTTAATATTTTGTACAGCCAGCATTGGTCTCCAGGAATAAGTTATAATCTTACATAAGTGAGTCCCTCCCAAACCCACCCTTAAGGAATGTTCAACTTTCAGCATTTCTCATTTAGAGGGAAATTATTTATAGGGTAAGACGCAGCCTGAAGAATGGAAATCAATCTTAATTTGTGAATAAAACTCCTCGGAAGTTCTCAGGGTTTACTTGCATCTAATTGGATTCATGAACAAGCTACAGAGGTCACATCTTTCAGGACTGCATTGAGAATACATTCATCTCGGGGACAATTTTACTTTCTGAAATTGGACAGGGTTTTGTTCCCCCCCCCCTTACTTCATGCCCCACACTTCTGCTATGCAGATACATAATTTACAGTCTAGTACAATCAATGCTTCTAAGAGATTTTTCCAAAAGGTACTCGTATGCTCGTGCCACATCATTTATTTGGTTGTTCTCAGCACCACTTAAAACATCTTAATTTCTCACTGCGTATTTTGTTTCTTTAACGCAGCCAAGAGGAACGGACCTTAATATTGCCTTTAAGCAATAAACACACAAAACAAATAAATACTTCAAAATCCTCTTAAATGGTAATGATGTACATACATACTGTGTTCCAGTGCAGAACTTGGTTATCTACTAGGTAAAAAGCACTCCAAGGATAGCTCAGCAGCAGCGACTAGGAGCCACCCTCATCTGTTTGCACCACTCTCCTCGCATTACTCAAGTAATGGGGCAGGGGTGGGGGAAACGAGCAACAGCCTAAGAGGAATTCCTCTCTCTTCCACGTTCAGAGAATTACCAGTGTCCGATATTAAGCAATTCACATTCTCTCACGCAAATAAAGCAAAAAGAGGTTGTATAAACATTTACTGCTCCCTCTCTGAAAAGCATGCCCAACTCTGAAATAGTTCAGACAGCTCTGAGAAACACCAACCAACAAGAAACAAGAGTCAAGAGCTAGCCGCAGGGCTTACAGATTTTAATGCCCTATTAAAAGAAGCCCTTCTGGGGCTCCCTACAGAACTTTCAACCTCAGAGGAAAGCTGTTTCACCAGAAGATCCCTCCTTACTACACCCATCAGCTTCACAGCCGCCCAGGCCTGTGTATGCCACAGCACACCGACACACCCGAGGGGTTTGTACGTGGTTTTTAAAAAAACAGTGCAAGTGAAAAGCCCAAACGTTGAACCTGATCCAGAATCCCCATGAAAGGGTTGGTGAGACTAAAAACAGGCAGGTGAATACTTGGGTACTGGGGGATTTTACTTAATTAAAGGTTCAGCCAAGTCTTAAAGCCTTATAAAGCCATTTAAGCCAAAAACAAGGTCTGGATTCAGAAACTGAATGCTCCTTCCTCGTTATTTTGAAACATTTCGCAGCAGTGATTAGAAAGTGTAAGAATGCTTTCAAAAGTTAGTATTTTTTATGCCGAAAGGAAGACAAGCTCACTGCTATGTTGTGCCTTCCTTTCCTAAAGGGAACCACAAATTTTGCTGAAAGGAAACTCGTGGGGAAAACATTTTGTTTCCTACAGAGAACAAAACTGTTGCTAAAGCTATGGAAACTTTCACAGAAAATGACCCAATGTAGCACCGTACTCCACAAGAGCATCCCAAAATGCTTTACAATACAACAGAAGAAGTACACTTAGATGAATGTTATATACCTGTCCAAGGTGTATTTTCTGATGCCACGTAGTGGGGTTTTTTTTCCCTTTAAGAAATTACGTCCAAGTTAGAATAAAGCAAACCCTTTCTTTTAACTGTTCTTTTCAACATGTTCTATATATACAACCCTTAAAATACACTTAAAAATAGCTGCACGCATTTTGTATCATTATACTAGGGAAGGGCAGTCCAGACAGACCACGCTTCTCAGTACGTTAAAAACTGTAAATAAAACCCAACCAGACTCATTCTCCTTCGGTACCCACGTTGGCCCAAAGGAGGGAAGGGAAGGAACAAGCAGTTTTAAAATGGGAGTCTTTCACAAAACACGCTACTTACAAATCTCAGGTTAATTTCCTCAAGCAGTTTTGTATCAAATCCTTTCTTAAATATTTGAGGTCACACACTGCCATCTTAGCAATGAAATCTGTTGCAACATGCATGTGTCAGCTTCCCACTCAACCAACTGCAACCCTGAGGATTTTTCTGGCCTGGTAGAAAGAGGAAATGTAACACAATTCCTGAAGTATGGCTGGTCCTCCGTTTCAAAACTCCGTGCAATTCCATCGACGGTTCTTGGACACACACCCACACTTTTTTGTTTTTCCTTTAATACACGTTTCCCTCCAACCAACATGCAGATTTCTCCTCCCAATCATCCACATCTTGATGTCCCAACGAAACAATCCACATCATCCATCCAGAGGTTTTCCCAGGTAGACCAAAGTCACTTCTGTGTTACCATACACAGCAGACACTGCTGGATACAGGCAAACTTTTGGCAGTCCTCTGAAGGCAACTCCCAAGAACTCATAGCCCCTCTCAAACGCTAATGTTTTGTCTTCCATGTCCAGGATAACTCGAATCCTTTCACCTATCTGTAAACAGAGACAGGAGGGGGGAATGAAAAAAAAAAAAAACAAAACAAACCACAGAAAGAGTCAGCATATTCAAATGGAGACACAAAAATAAAGCATAGCCCATCTATAACGCAGCAGGTAATTTTAAAGCAAGGCTTTCCTGTTTCTCATGACTGCATTACTTTTAGGATTCAAATTTCTCAATTTCGCCCAAATGCACTAGGATCCTGAGTACCTCGGCTGCCCATTTCCAGAAGGCAGCCTGTATCTAACCACCTACATAGTAATAAACATAACCCTTCTCATACGAGCCTTGCGAGAGCATCAAGAGTGAGTGTACTACATGCCACGTGCTTCAGAATATTGCTGAGTTTTGGAAACTTTGTAATGGCCTCCAAGTTACCTGAACTCTGTATTTAGCTGCTGCTGTCGCTAAGCAGTAATTGCTCTGTGAAGAGCAACTTCAAGACAATGAACTTGTTTTAGAAAGGTAAGTGCCACCCACAAAATATACCAGGATACACTACTATGCAGGTGCTGCTGCTGACACAGGTATTTCCCTGCCAAGGCAGAAGGAAATTCCAGTGCAAAGCTTAGGCAAAACAAGCGTGAAAAACCTAATATATATATATGTGTACACACACACACACGAGTGAAACCAACACTTAACACAGTAAGAGACTCAGATCTAGGCATGCATGGTGCTCCCTGCATTTATCTAGTTCACATTATTTTAGACATAAATAGAAGTCCCAGACATCAGCAGCAAGCACAGCAGGATGCCACACAAACTTCTGATTTTTCACCAGCCAGCCCCAGTACTGGGGATTTCTTCCAGCCAACACATTTTTCTTCTAACCAACACTAATAAACACACGTTTCCTTTAAGTATGTTTTCTATGAGCAGATCCCTGTACATGTCTTAATAAACACAAAATACCCCAAAGGATGACCAATTTGAGCTCTGATTTTTATAGAGGAAGCAGCAATTGTGCTCACCCTTGAGTCCCCTCATGAGCTCAGGACTCTCAGCTTCAAAACCTTTCCTCACCCTGTTGCTGCAGAAAGGCCTACACAAGGACCGCAGAAAGCAACCACAAAGGGTCGAGTCTGGAAAGTGCCAACCCAATTTGCATGCTAGGGAACATGCAAATGGTAAGAGATCTGAATCTCTTTAACTACACTGATTTTAGGTATTATTCCCCAAAGCGGCAGGTGTAACCTTCAGACAGAACTGAGTGCTCAGCGGTGAGTTTTCACATGAAATTTAGGAATACCAGATACAAGTTACTACACAGATCTTCACCCAGAACTGAAACATAAGCCAATACTCGTACAAAGCCACAGCATTATGAGATGGAAATTATAATGCATACACCTTAAGTTGTAACACAAGGAAATCCAGCAGTCAAAATGTAGTTGTGTGAGCAGCCAGAAGAACAAAGATAAACACCTCTATAGGGACAAGACAGTGGAATGGCACTTGCTCTTTAATAACCTGAAATTATCTGAACATCACATCCCAGCACCCCAGCCAAGGGATGTCACCTATGGGAATGCTGCCAGCAAGCAAACAGGCAGCACTCAGCACTGCTACAGGTTTTTGCAGGAAGACTCTTACCTAAGCACTAACCTCAGCTCACACTGCCGTGCAACAAAGGGGTAAAATACCACAGACATTCACCTTGCTGTGGTGTGGGGCAAGTCGTTACTTCAGAAGGCTACAACAGTCTTTTCAGCTTTTATTTCGAAAAGCAACATGGTGTCTAAACAGACACCCACGGTACACGCTTTGCGCTCAATATTGGACATAAAAGCGCGGAAACAACTGAGGGTCAGGTACACTGAACACCACACACAGGTGTAGCCTGAGGAGACAGGAAACAAAGGGGGAAAGGCCTCACAAGGTGGAATCATTTGCCGTCTGCAGGGAAGGCAAAGAGACCCTTAAGTGGGCTTTTAGGACCAATTCAGCAGACAGCCAGGACACGTGAGGGAGGAGGGTCTTGACAGCCAGCCGCCAGTCAGACACAGTGGAGCTTCCAGCCCGCACCAAGCCCCACTCACCTGGTATTTGGGAGCATTATTGCACTGGGGGAAGCTGCCGTTCACCTCTCCGTTATGCAGCAAGTTATTGTCCACCAGGTTCCAGCCCCAACTCTGGTCGTCGCTCCCCAGCAGGGCCACGTAACCCTGGCACTGCATGGCCGCCCGCTTTGTGGCAATGCCAATGACGGCCACGGTGCCCAACGGGCCCTCCCACCACACCTCCCAGGCGTGGCGGCCCTCGCTGAAGCCGATCTTGGTCCGCGCCCCATCCGTGCTCTGGGCGATGGGGTTGCGGTGCAGCGTGAAGCCGTTCTTCTTGATGTAGACGTTCCGCGAGCAGTCGTTGGTGCTGAAGGCGTGGTGGAAGGCACGGACCTAGGGGAGATGGAGGAAGGCGCGGGGGGAGATAAAATCCTGTCACGTTTTTCAGCCCCCCCCCCCGGTTTCCAACGGTGGGTGGGCCGAGCGGCTAGGGGGGTGTCCCCGAGCACCTGGGGGTACTGCTGAGAGGCTGGGGAGGGGTGTCCCCGAGAGGCTGGCGGGGGGCGTCCCGGGCTCACCTTGCCCTTGTAGGTGGGCACGTTGCAGAGGATGTCGGTGCGCAGGGCCTCCTCCGCCAGGCAGCGGGCCGCCAAGCTGCGCCACACCTCGCTGTTCTCGTCGCCGTGCAGGACGCGGTGCCACAGCTTACAGACCAGCGCGCAGCTCCTCAGCTCCCGCAGCTCCAGGTAGGAGAAGACCAGCTCCAGCACCCGCCCCGGCAAACGCCAGCCCGGCCCCCCCGCCG